CTCTTCGTTTAATCTGTTTGAAATAGTCAAATATATCCTAATTCTTATGCTTTAACATTGTAATGAGTTCTAATGCAAGATATATTAATTTGGTTCGCACTATGTCTAATCGCCTTCTATTCAGATCATCAATCGTACAGACCAAATCGAAGACATACATTGCTATAAGCAAAGAAAAAGAAAAAACGAGTACGAGAATAGGATAGAAGGAAAATATCAGGAGAAAAAAAAAGAAAAGATATAGAAAGAGAGACAGACGATCATAGGGAAAGACAAATATGGATAACAGTAAGATTAGGTATAAAGCAGGATAGTCATTTTTGTTTTGCCATAGAAAACAGCCAGTTGTTTTATATTATAAGCACTCGAGAAACAATTGAGATCAGTATACGTATATGAGAAGAAAATCTCAGCAAGATAGCTGAAACGGATACCTTCTTAGGCACGCATGCAAATATATTTCCTGAATAAATATGTGTACAGGTACTTGTATCTGTAATTTTACTACGGAAAGCTTCATGAAACATCCTAATTTTCTTTGTGTGACGTCTCTATTAAAGAAAAAACACATCAATACAATTAAGCATAAAAATCGATGTTCTAAATTTAAAGCTATTCTGTATGGTTCATGTGAATGTTGTCGATTTTCTTTTATGATCTTTTCCTTGAGAAATATATCTCAGTTGTTGAAGTATTTTACTGGTCTTGATGAATTGATATTATACCTAGTGCGTGTATTAAAGACAAGGTACCCAAAAAAGTACTCTGCTACTAGTATATCCCAAGAACTGCAAGGTACTAAAGTACTGAAAGTATGTTAGGGGTACTAGTTTACATAACCTATAGTATCATTATCTAGTAAATTAATACTTGCAAGTACTGCTTTGGTACCTTGTTAGGTACCTTGCCATAAATCGTTAAGTACCTTCAGGATCGACGATTCCTTCTAAATTTTTCTCATATTGCTCTTTTTTGCTTCTCTTCATCTTAAAAACATGAAGCTTAATTTTTATAATCAAAGTTTTTGATCTGCCAATAGTGTCACGGATTTTTTTATTATTCAGCTCTCTCGTGAAAATAAAAATAATAGCTTGCAGAAATTTTAACTTTTTGAAGTTAAGTTGAAAACAGTTTTGTAAAATTTAGTTAATATCTGAAATTAAAAGTCTATCATAGGTTCAATTCATTGATGAATATATTATCAAAGCTTTTTTTAAGAATTATTCCAGCAACTCATATAGGATATCCAAAAAGGCAAGAATTCTTTATAAAATTGATCAATAAATTTGTTTTTTTGATGAAAATAACGGGGATGATTTTTACTGATCAATTAAAATATCTTTTTCATTTGAAAAAAAAGTGGATTTATCACTTAGTTATTTTTCTCTCACTGGTGTGACTTGAACTATCTCACTGAAGAGCCTATGCCAACTGCTTTATGTATGACTTGTTATCTTGGCTAATTAAATCTTATATTAAGACTAAAATTTTCCCTAAAACACAGCTTATTGTTTCGAAAATAATTAAGAATTTCTACAAGTCAATTGATTACACAGTACATTAATTTGTTTCGTTTATTTAGATTGCATTTGACGAATAAGTTAGAAAACTAATGTACTCTGCTACAATTTCTTCTTTAAGTTTATCTCCTTAGGTACTTACACAAGTACTCTTTCAATACATATACTGCTTGTGGGTGTGAACACGGTTCACTATTGAGCAACATTGGCAGTCAAATTCAGACATCTATATATATAATGTTCAGTGTGTGTGTGCGCGTGTGTGTGTGTGTGCGTGTGTGTGTGTGTGTGTGCGCGTGTGTGTGTGTGTGTGTGTGTCTGTGCCGGGTCAAAGGTCAAGGGTTAAAGGTTAAAGGTCACATAAGGCTATAAGGGGAGATCTCCAGGGACTATGTATGGGGTACTTATAGGTCCTCAAGGACTCTCCTATCGGGGACCCATAGATCCCCAAGGACTATTATGTGGGGGTACCCATAGGTCCCCAAGGGCTATCCTAGGGCGGTACCCATAGGTCCTCAAGGGCTATCCTATGGGGGCACTCATAGGTCCTCAAGAGCTATCCTATGAGGCTACCCATAGATCCCCAAGCGCTATCCTATGGGGGTACCTATCGGTCCTCAAGGGCTATCCTATGGGGGTACCCATGGGTTCTCAAGGGTTATTATGTGGGGGTACCTATTGGTCCCCAAGGGCTATTATGTGGGGGTACCCATAGATTCCCAAGGGCTATTATGTGGGGGTACCCATAGGTCCTCAAGGGCTATCCGATGGGGGTATCTATAGATCCCCAAGGGCTATTATGAGGGGGTACCCGTAGGTCCTCAACGGCTATCCTAGGGCGGTACATATAGGTCCTCAAGGGTTATTATGTGGGGGTACCCGTAGGTCCTCAAGGGCTATCCTGTGGGGACACCCATCGGTCCTTCAGGGTTATCCTATGGGGGTACCCATCTGTCCTTCAGGATTATCCTATGGGGGTACCCATAGGTCTCCAAGGCCTATTATATGGAGGTACCCATTAGTCCCCAAGGGCTATCCTATGGGTTACTCATAGGTCCTCAAGGGCTATCCTAGCGGGGTACTGATTGGCCAGCAAGGGCTATTATATTGTGATACCCATAGGCCCTGAAGGGAGCAAGGCAATAGGGAGATAAGGCTGCAAAGAATATAAGGCTATAAGGTCGAAGGCTACATTGCCTATAAACATATGTGCGATATGAGAGTATGAGGCCGTAGGGCTATCTATCTATATACATAATATCGAGTGTCTGTATGTATTTTGCCGGATGAAAAGTTAAATGTGTGAGGTCATGCGTTAAAGGGCATAAGAGCCGTGCAGTATGCACGGGTTCTCCCTAGTGATTCACTAAGGCTCACATTCAAACTCCTTCTACCTTTAGATCATTTGCTTTAATAATTGATTCTAAAGTTTGTTCCTTATTCGTTCTCTTTTCATTTTGTATTACACTGTACTCAGTAGCTATCGTATGCATGCTCGACTAACGAGGAAACCTCTTTAGGTGTTAAATCGCTTTTCGCTCGGGACCATTACCATTCGATAGGTCCTACTGAGTAGTGAAAAAGACTAGAAGGATTTGGGTGCATGGCTCTTCTGGACTGATATATCGAATTATCAAGTTATGATCGAAATAGACTAAAATATCAAATTTTCAATTAATAGACAGAGTAATGAATTTTTATCAAAGACATTTTTATCTCATCAAATGGGTTCTGTATATGATCCGTAATTTCAGGCCATTAGTGAGCTCACTAATGATACTTATCCGAATAGTAGATCTCACTTACATGATTCTTAAGGTATTAATCTGAAATATTTCTCTGTACAAGTAGAAGCTTGCAACTTCGTTTTCTTCACAAAGAAGGCATTGATCAACTTTACATTCTCATAAGAGATAAATGACCTCACTATGTTTATGTGACAGACGTTTGAATTCATCAATAGCTTTCTTGAATAGTACTCGCTTATAGCTTTCACATGGATTCTGCCGATTTTGCTTCACTTATAGAAGGAACGTGGGGAGCAAACACGACCAAGACTGAAGTGAAGAAACAGGAAGAGAAAGAATATCCACGTGAGCGATACAGCGAGTACTCTCTTGTTGGTACGATATCACTCATTTTAAACATTGTTACGTAGGAGTTAAGCGAGAATACCAGATGTATATGTCAGCGTCCATACTCGGATTCAGGCCAATCTCGGATTCACCTGAATATGATCAGGCCAATCTGAGATTCGCCTAGGCGAATCTCCGATCGATCTCACATTGGCCTAGACGAATCTCCGATCGA